GCTCTGGAACCACAAGCGGGAGGTGTTTCTCAAACCATCGCATCTGCTGTACCTGCGGTGCCTGGCCCAGAGAAAACTTCAGCAGCTCCAGCGGTGCCAATGACATTGGACCCCCATGCAGTTGAAGAGGTGAGTGAGAGTGGAGCGGCAAAGAGGAATACCTCTCGGACTGAAGATGTACAATTCGTTGTGCCAGAGGTGAGCTTTACCTCTGCTGGGAGCGGACTGCTGCCGCTGCTTCTTCTGCTCGGGCTGTGGGGGGTTGCGGCTGCGTGAGGAGTGTGCGGCCTCAGTGTGGAACACTTGCGCTCTCCTCTGCGCCGACACACACACCGCTAGGAATAAATTTACTAGGCAGAGAATAATTTGTTTTTGTTTTCTTTTAATGTTTTTCATTTTTACCTTGCTGCTTTAGGGCAACCACCATGGACGTTTTTTCTTTTCGGCTTTTAATTTTTTCTTCTGCGCTCTTCCTGTGAGGGGTGCCGTGTGTTTCCCGCCCAACTGCTCCACTTGCACACCCACCGACACGCTCATGACGACGGCCCTGTGCGCCTCGCCTGCTGCACGCATGAGGAGGGGCCGCGACGAACGGCGCGCTGAGGGAGCCGTGACGTGTGGGCGTGCGACGAGGGCCTGTGCGGCGGAGCACACATTTCTTTCCCTCTTGTTTTGTTTTTGCGGCCGGGGCGGGCAGACACCCGCAGCGCCACACACACAGCCCTGCCGCCGTGTTTTTCTTTTTTTTTCTTGCTGCGCTCACTCTCCCGATGGAGTGACGCGAGTGCCGTCATGTCTGCGTGCTTCTCTCAGCCCCACAAACACACGAGTGACTGTGCTCTGCGGGCCGCACTCACATGCCGATGAGAGGGCTGAGGGGAGCGGCAACACGCAGATGACCCCATGAAATATAAACGATGTGCGGACACACATGGAGGGTCAGACGGTTGAAAGGCATTTAACTATTTAATTTTTAAATTGCGGGCAAAATGTACAAACAGTTTGGTGGGTGCACACGGTAAACAGGTGAAATGTTTCTTTTGTGTGTAGTTTTTCTTTTCTTTTTTTTTTTGTGTGTGTGTGGTTTTTCTTTTTTTTTTTTTCTTTTTTCATCTTTCCTTTTTTTTTCTTTTCTTATTGTTTCCAAAGTGTGAGGGGTGGAAAGGTGAAGATGAATTTTTTTAAATTTTAATAAATTTTTTATGAATTGCCGCTGCGTTGTCTGCAGTGCAATATCGTGTGTTTGAGCAATCCTGTTATTTCTGCCATGCACCTCTGCTGTACATTTTTGTTTGTGCGTCTCTTCACATGCTCTTCTCATCTTTTTTACTTCGACTCGTGCTTCTGCAGGCACACACACAACCACACAATACACATTGCAGTGGATTTGGATGCTTCTTTTGTAGCGTGTGCTGGTGGTTGCGGGTCTCTGCTGCTTCCTCCGTGGGCATGAAAGGAAGGAGGAGAGAGGGAGCGAAC